TTCAGATTCAATCATCAAAGGTGTTTCAACTATTATGGTTTCCTATTCCAGTTGGAATGGGGAAAAGATGCACGCAAATCATGAGCTAATAACTGGCTTCCTTAAGAACACCCTCAAGTTTAAGGTCAGGTTCACATTTCAATTTTAATTTCTATGCTCAACCAGCATCCACACTTATGAATTGTGGAAAAATTGTATTTTCTTGCAATAAACAAGGATTTAGACATAGGTTTTACAGCAATGCTTGGAACCTTCAGCTTCCAATCCTTATCAAAGATTTTTACGCTGCACCATGGGCAGAACCTCAACTTTTGGCATTTGAGACGATTCTTCTTGGTGCATGGCCCAGCTCAATAAAAACATAATTCCACCCCTTTGTGTAGGTTGGCTTTGCCTGGAAGCCTCCTCCAGCAAACACCTCGCCATCAAGTCTTTGAAATTTTTTATAGTGGCATTGTTTTAGCCTCAATTATAAGTGCACTTGCATGCTTAAGTATTATTGTTTTGGCTTCATTCCAAACTAACCATTTCTAATTGTATATTTTTTTTTTGTGCTGATGCATCGGCTTCATTTTCTCGCATGTTTTTCATTATTTAATCCATCTTATTTCTTCATTTTTTGCACTCAGTTTTTAGTTAATTTTTTTTCTAACTGCCCAACATCCTTTATGATAAAGGATGGTTAGCCATAATTTTAACTCACTTAATAATAGTAGGGATATCATGATCAAGAGCATGCTACCAGCACTGTTTGTTCATTTATCTTTCTATGATGCCCTGGGCAATATGGAGAGCATCGCGCTTGATTGTTTCCAGATCATGAAAGTGACCTTTGGGATCCTTTTGGCAATAAGCATAACATCACTGGTTTTTCCATGGTTTGCTGTTGCAGTTGATCTCATGCTCCATGTAGATTTGGTAATGTAACCATACATATGCAACGTGAAATTTGGTACCCAAGCTAACTGCTGTTGCTGTCTTGATCAACTTTCAGGGTTTTGTTATCTCAGATTGGCAGGGTATTGACAGGATCACTTCACCACCACATGCAAATTACTCATACTCTGTCCAAGCTGCGATCCAAGCTGGCATCGACATGGTTAGCAGCTCATGTTATGGGCAATGTCATTTGAGATTGAATTCAAGTGAACTCTTCTCTGCCCTGCGGAGATGGCTGAGAGTGAATAATTCTGAAACTTGGAGTTCTGGTTCTCTTTTTTTCAGGTCATGCTGCCTTTCAACCACACAGAGTTCATTGATGATCTTACTTATCTGGTCAAGAGCAATGTCATCCCAATGGATCGCATTAATGATGCTGTGGGGAGGATTTTGCTAGTGAAGTTCACCTTGGGTCTCTTTGAGAACCCTTTAGCTGATCTCAGCCTTGTTAATGAGCTTGGAAGCCAGGTCAGTAAAGCAAATCATTGTTCAGTATCTAGAGCCTGTATTTTCGAATTGGTCTTTTAATTTAGAAATTTGGCACCCAGTGCTTCGCATGAGGTAAGATGTTCAAGAAAGCTTTCTCTTGCATTACCAGGTGACATGCATCTTCTATTTTGATTAAATTATCTTACTTTCCTCCCAAATATATCTCCCTTGTCTGTTTACATGGTTGATATGCTGAGCGTGGTTTTAAAATATGGTGCCATGAATGGTGAACATCCTTTTACTTGTCCAGGCACATAGAGACTTGGCTAGGGAAGCTGTAAGGAAATCACTTGTGCTGCTGAAGAATGGAAAAAATGAAACTGATCCATTACTTCCACTTCCCAGGAAGGTTTCTAAGATTCTAGTAGCCGGTACACATGCTGATAATTTGGGCTATCAATGTGGTGGGTGGACTATTCAATGGCAAGGATTTAGTGGCAACGGATACACTAGGGGTATGCCTTGTTTAATATGCTGTCACAGACTGCATTATGAATCCCTCCCTTAAAAATATATGTATAACTGTCTTATTCTCACCTCCTTGGACATACTGAAAATTTATTCACTTATTTATAACATAGATGACGCTTCTTTGGAATCATTTCCTTTTTCTTTAGGTTTGAAAACTTTAATGATGGTTTGGCACATGTCAAACATATAATCTAAGGTCCTAAGATATCCTTCTAAGAGTTTAGGAAAAGTGCATATGTACAATGGTTTAGAGTATCATTTTTTGTGGTGATTTCTGATCCCAATTCATCCAATATCCTCTGCATGCCTTGTGATGAGAACAATAAATTTTATACTTCCCCTTTCATGTTAGGAACCACCATCCTTGGTGCCATAAAATCTACTGTTGATCCAAGCACAGAAGTTGTGTTCCAAGAGAACCCTGATAGCAAGTTCATTAAGGATAATAATTTTGCTTATGCCATCATTGTTGTGGGTGAGCCTCCTTATGCTGAGACTGCAGGAGACAGCATGGACCTCACAATGTTAGATCCAGGTCCCAGTGTCATCAGCAATGTTTGCAAGACAGTCAAGTGTGTTGTTGTCGTCATTTCTGGCAGACCTATTGTGATTGAACCATACCTCTCCTCGATTGATGCCTTGGTGGCAGCATGGTTACCTGGCACAGAAGGGCAAGGCCTAGCTGATGCCCTTTTTGGAGACTATGGATTCACTGGAAAACTTCCAAGAACATGGTTCAAAAATGTGGACCAACTACCAATGAATGTTGGGGATCCCCATTATGATCCACTCTTCCCCTTTGACTTTGGTCTGAAGACCAAGCCGGCTCCAGACATTGTGCGAAGGTAAGTCTAGTTGAATAATTGTTTTGAAATTTTTATCTGTGTTTCAGTATTATTATGGAATTCCATCGTACAATATTTTTTATTATCTGGTAGCTTTTATTATCGAGCACAAAAAAGAAGGAATTTGCAGGCTACTCTTAACCTTCTTTTTTCTCACATCCCTTGGTACATGCAAGTCATTGGATGGAGAGTTGTTTACGCCGTCCAAGGGATATAAAATAGTTCAGTTGGCGTGAGGTGTTTTCCTTGGAGTTTATAAAGTGCTTCCTGGCATTTTGGTTCCATTACACCTGAATTCAGAAACGGGTGCTATACCTCTAGCATTCGTTGTTAATGGTTTTTGTTCAATAAAAGAACCTGTTTTTTTTGTATGGATACCTATTAAAACCCACAATGCTGTTTGTCTGCAGGTCAACCTCAGCTGGAATTATTGGGAGGCCATATGCACTCTTTCTCATGGTTTCTGTAATTTTCAGTTTATGTTTCATAGGTATACTTTTCACCTGACCTACCACATGCAAGTTATTTTCTGAACGAGTCGATCTCTCTTGTCAACCTTTATGATTTGCTTCCCCGGTTCCTTGATTAATGAAATCTTTTGCCAAATCATGATAGGTTAAACCCAACTTAGTGTGCGAGCTATGGGCAGAGGAAGGAGGCTTCAAAGGTAACGAACATGATTTGTTTGACGATTAAGCTATGTCGGAAACGTTAAATGCTCAGCTAGCATAGAGGGATCTTATTGACTTGTAGCAGCCTTTCCAATTCTTGTTCCAGAATTTCCACTTTTTTTTTTTAATGTAAAGAACAACATTGAAACCTTGATTAATTATTCTGAAATCTGCCGAAGTGCTTTCTATTCTCTGTGTCTGCATGCTGTTCGTTTTCAGCTCTTGTTAGTTGTCACTTGTCACAAAATCAACGGTTTATTATTGTTATTATTATCATGAACCAGTTAAATGGATACATTTGCATTTGATAATTTACTAGGGAGCCCAATACGACTGAAGATTACATTTCTCTAGGGAGCCCAATAGGAATTGAGATTACATTTTTTAAGAAGCCCAATAGGAATGAGATTGGATTTTACTAGTGAGCCCGTAGCAGTTTTCCTGGGCCTAACGTCAATTGCGCAGAAATCAGCCCAATAACATGAAACCAGGGTGAGGGCTGTTAAAAAAAAAAAAAAAAACCCGAATTACATGCACCAGCTTTGAGGGATTTGGGTAACAAATTGTCAGGATATGGGTAATTTGAGTAATTACCTAAAATCTTTTCAGTAGGTTTTGGTAAAATATAAAAGACATTCGGGTCATTTTGATCATCCGAATTTGGTCAAAAATATTTTTAAAACTAATGGGCTAGCAATTTCTCTGTCTTAATTTTGGCTAGTCACAGACTCTTTTAATCTAATTTTGACTACTTAATTCTTTTTTTTTTTTTGAATTTAAGGTAAGAAAAAATTAGGTTATGATCCGAGTCAGGTGAAAAAGATTTTAAAAAAAAATGTTTGGATTTAGAATGATTATGTAAATTTAAAATCTTCATTGGAATTGCCAATGAATCATATTTGTCAGCATATATTTGGCACCAGAGACCGATCAATTTCTCAAAAAAAAAAAAAAAAGGATGGATCAAAATTCAGAAAGTGGCAAATTAAGGATGCCCTTTAGCCTAGCGAAACGGCAATTTTTCGGCCAAATCACCCATATTTGTCAGCACATAGGACCACACGGCATGACATCAAGGAAATATCAAGATTCGAGAAATTAAAGCTTTAACGTGCATTAGCCATTTCAAGATTGCACTTGGCTATTTTTTTGTTTTTCAAGTAACACATGCTAAAATCTTTTCGGATATAGTAGCATAATTGAAAAAATATTTATAAAAACAATACATTGATTGTATTGAAATATATTTTTAGTTTTAATATTTATCTATTTTATTAACGAACCTACCAAGTAATCATTTTAAAATAATTATAGGGTTGCAATTTCATGGCTATTTTTTTGACCCGTGTTACTTAAAAAAAAAAAAAAAAGGGACCAAAACAAGTTGCATTGCCCCCAATCTTCTTCCTCCATGGTCTTTCTTAATCTGCCATGGGAACAGCGGGCTGTAATCTATGACTTCCTTTTAATCATTGGACGTAGCTACCACTAAAAAATCCCATTAACAACGATCGTTGATCTTCGACTCAAGTATCATATACCCATTTGGATCATGCATAGATGCTAAATTATTGATGTGATCATTGAACAAAAAAAGAACTAAAAGCTTTCTTTATGTACATGGTTTCAAGGAGACATAATTGTATAAAATCATGATCACGAGGATCCAGTAAACAACTTAGCAATGGTGGCACCGATTTCACAAAGACGTTTTAAATCACCATTCCTGCTCTCTAAAGGTGGTGAAGAGATTCCCTTGAAAGTATCCTGGCAATGATCAGAAGCATTGGAAGCAATACCTGCCAATTCCGCCAACCCAAAAAAGGTCTCCGAGTTCAAGTCATTGTAAGCCTCTTCCAGTTTAGAAACTGCCCTGAGATAATCATGGCTGCATGTTTCGAGACGGTAATGGTAATCTTGACTAGAAGTATTCTTGAATAGCTCTGCTATGTAATAGTCTGTGGTGTTGTTTGCATTGGTGTATGCTAATCCAAAGGAGATGAAGGCCAGTGTGTAGCTATCGGCATCTGGGGTACGTGAGTCGGAATAAAGAGCTTCGACACAGAAAGTGTAGTTTGATGTTTGGTTGCAGACCTGGTCTACTAGCTCGGTTGGCTTATCAGCGGCCGCTGGGGAAGCATGGATGAAGATGAAACAAACTAAGAAAGTAAGAGTGTGATAGGGGACAGAGAAGGAATGATATCTAGTCATTTCTTTCAGAGCATGGATGAGGATGAAACAAACTAAGAAAGCAAGAGAGTGATAGGGGACAGAAAAGGAATGATATCTAGTCATTTCTTTCAGATACTGTAAGAACTAATGTAAGATAGAAAGGCCAACAACTCGTGTTTTTAAAGAAAAGATCGTGAGATAAAGGAGAAAGAAACAATTGAGTAATGTCCTGAAATGCTTTACCATCCTTGAAATTACCAAAAATAGCTCAAAACCTCTTATAATCTACGTAAAAACATGGGGATATCTCATACGAATTTCTCATTGATGAAGTAACATAGGTATTAAAAGAACAGACTGCGAGTCGAGCATTGCGAGAACTACTGCGTATCTTTTGCACTACCCTAAAGAAACCCTAGAGTCTTCTCGGTAAAAAGATGAATATATGCAGGAAAAACCCAAGATTTGGGCTATCCCATACACTCTTGTAAAGCAAGGAATGTGGTGAGCTGGAAAGATACGATCACGTATTCGAAAAAAAACAAAACCTAAAGAATATTAATGGCTTCTATTTAATTTTATTCCATGAGCTTTTGCTGGGCAAGGAATCCAGTGAGCTGGACAGTTTTAACCACGTTTTCAAAACAAGAATAGCTTCTCCACCTAGATAACAAGATCTTGTATTTTATGTACAGAGCCATTGCCATAGCTACAATTTTCTGAAAGAAGAGCGATATCCCCAAATACACCACTTGTTTAATTAATTTGAGAGGTGTTGCATGACTGTTGAACCTGGCAGATACTTGAGATTCTTCCGAAGCTCCATCCTAAGATATTGAAGAACAGAAAGGCTGGCAAAGCTTCCTCAAATTCCTCTCCGTTGAAATCATTTATAAACAATTTCTCAAGGGCAGTGAGGTCTTGAAGTTGATGCGATACAATCGTCAATGTATCTCATTCGTTGGATTGAATTTATAACTTGTGCAGGGAAAGCCTCCAGCTCTTCTGAGAAACCTTCATTGCTCAATACCTTGCAATTGGGGGAGGCAGGCTAAGCTTCAATCATATGGGACATGAGTTAAACTCTTGACACTTTTGTTTGTTGAATTTATTTTTTCATGATTTTTATGGAAAAAAAGAAGTAAGTTTCTAGATATAAAATTATTTTTTCATGTTTAGAAATATTATAAAAATAAATTAAAAAATAATTTTTAATGTTATGTGTTTTAATTATAAAGTTGTAGAATTTAGTTTTGCTTGTGATTTATCTCTTTTAAAAAATTATAATATAAAAGTCAAAATTTGATAAAAAAAAAACTCAGTTCTGACATGTACACATCCAAAACCATCTATTACAATTGCATATACAATTTGTCCAGCAAAATTCAGTTTGACATTTCTTTTGTTTTTTATTTATATTTGAAATTTTACAATTTTAAATTAAATAAAATCATTTTCATTTAAAAGTTAATATCTCAACCTATAAATTTTATAAAAAACATGTTTCAAATCCCTTCATTTTCTAGTTCTAATTCAAGCTAAAAATCAAGTGACAAAATTATCAAGATTTTCAATTTGCATGTTTAATTCACAACAAAGTATTTTCACGTATTTTTGATATTTTTTTTAAGTACATTAAAAAATAAAAAAATTTACCAAAAACAAGTTAAAAAAGATGAAATTAAAAAAACTCAATTTCATAAATCACATCAAATAAAATAAACAACAATAAAATAAATTAAAACAAATCTGAAAAATAATAAAATTTAAAGAGCATAAAATTAAAAAATAAATTCTAATAAAAAAGAAAAATATATAATTTTTTAAAAGATTTCAGAAAGTATTTTCTAGATAAAACAAAAGAAAAACAAGATGTTTTTATTAAGATCAATTTTCCAGTTAAAGTACTTTTCTCTTGAACAACTTTAAGGTTACGTGGAAGAAATTGGTTCTTAAAAAAGTATTTTTCTATGAACAAACTGAGTCCTCAATTAAACAAAAGAATGCAATTGTCGGAGACCATATCAATCAAAACTGATGAGCAGGGGTCGACCTATGACATGCTTTGGTGGGAGCAGAGCAGCCCCAGAGTTCAAAAATAATTTGATTTTAGTCCTTAGATTTTCAATTTTTTTCATAAAAATTATGCACTCAACTATTTCAAAAATAAAATATTTGCTCTCTCTCACTACAACTTTCTAGTTCCGCCCCTACTGACGAGCTTATCACATGGTACAACGGATAACGAAGCAAGGACAACTGTAAATCAGCGTCATTAAATTGGATAAGGCGAAGCAAGGACAACTCCTGTAAATCAGCGTCATTAAATTGGATAAGCCCTTTGCAATTTATTATTGAAAATCCCTCTAGAGATGCACAACATTGTAGTCCTCTTGGTAGAACTCTAAAAATTTTAAATTCTAAGAAATCACTGGGAATTGAGATCAACTCAGGGCAGTTCCATGTTTCCAATTCCACCAGAGCTGTGCAGCGTTTTATGCTTGGAATGGATGGATGCCGGCTTCTCACAATTCCATATCCTCAAAAAATGAAGAGATGTGAAGCAATGAGATTCACCAGGTAAATATCTTAGTTCATCACAATCAACTATTTCAAACCATTGAGCTCCGGTATCAAGTACGAGTAGTCCTTAGTCACAATCAACTATTTCAAATCATTGAGCTCCGGTATCAAGTACGAGTAGTTTTCTCCCCAAGTTACAAAGCTGGGCATTACATGTTAATACTTACCTCGCAAATTAATATAACGTAAACCATAACTTTTTTTCTAAACATTATTCTATTTATTTAGACTCGCAAGGACAAATAACGAGCCACGAAAAACGAGTGTCCTGTAGATTTAAGACATTTTCATCCTTGCTTCTCAAGAAAAAGAGGGGAAAATGATTTCAAAATAGACAATTCTATTACTTGTAATGACATTCTCAAACTACAATCGTATGACTTGTAGATACATCAATATTTTGATACTCTTAAGCTCTGCAGTCTATAAACAGCTATATTTTTGTATGTCATCACGCAAACAAGGCCTATGAATGAAAAGCAAATGTCAATAAAGACCAATTTATTGGGTCAAAACAAACACTAACCCACTTGTTTGAAATCTAGAATAACCAGTTTGTTTGATCTTCAGGTTCTGAACCTCCTAGCCATGTCTGATGCATGTGCATCCATGTGAAGCCATCAGGTACCTTGGCCTGCCCAAAACCCACCACAGATTAATCACTGGTGTTAGGCATATATGGTGAAACCAGCAGGCAGAAATTCAACAAGGCAAACGACATTTAAATAAAGAGTGCATCGGACTCTTGTTCTACCTTTGAACTTAGCAAGACAGTGGTCAAACAGCCATGCCGTTCCTCCCCTGTAATGTAATTTTGTCATGGTCATATGTCAAAGCAAATTTAAGAAATGAGAATATAAATGAATCCAACATGATAAACCACAGGAAAATCAATTCATACAGAGGCAAAAAAGATGTTTAGATAACCAAGTATTTATCTGAGTATATTAAAACCGAAGGTCGAATAGTTCCTTGTCTATCAATAAAAAGCAACTCCATCAAAACATCAATGCCGATACAAATCGGGAAAAAAAAAAGTACATGTAAATGAACCATAGGATGATGGAAAATAAATCTCACCAAATGACTCCCATTTATAAAACTTCACAAGCCATGTGTCTGAACCAACTTGTGCTGAAGAAACTCGATCTACCCATATGCGGTAATTGGTTCCTTGCTTGTCCCCATGCAACCTTGCCATTACATCTATGCAGTGGTTGACTGGTTGCTCAACTCCTGAAGGATGCACAAATGTACCCAATGGAAACTGGGGAGCAAAGGAAACTCAGTAAGCAGATGTCAGTGTCGTTGAAGGATAAAATGAAAAGGCGGCTCCTACAAGGGAAAAACAAAAAGGAAAGGGCAAAGGCAGAAAAAGATGACACCACCAAAAAAAAAGTTCAAGCACTCACAAAATTCAGGTGACAAGACAAAACTTGCATTAGCATGCTCCAGATAGAATTTTTTAATCATGTCAACCGGGAATAAGTAATTTATCAATATTTAATCTCCTAAACTAATTGGGGAAAAAATAAAAATAACTAAGCAAAACAATAATTCTCCTTAAAAGCCATAAAAGCTCCTGCATAAGTTCCCCACAACTTCTAATGCAGCTTCAACTCAAAGAATGTCCATAAATTTACTGAAACATTCTGCTTCTAATGAATGCCTAACAAAATGCAGATGTTACTTGAATTTCATTTTTAATGTAAAAGGAATCCTATTGAACTTACAAATATTAACTTTGGAGTTTCCATATTCTTGGCAACTTCTGCACGTCTCCATCTCTCATAGAACAAATAAAACTTCACAACTTCATGACCACTATTGAGAATTTCCACTTTGCATTTCTGAAAGTCTCTAATATCTCTTGGAGAAACATTTGGACCCAGACTAAAATTACCGATGGCTTGTATTATCCCAGCTGCACATCTCTCTGTTGCATGAATTATATTAGGATTGTTCCTTGCATTTTCTGCATGCCACCGCAGCAATTCCTCCTGTGCATTGCTGACCTTCATAATAAAAATACAAATGTTACCATATGTGAGAGAAATGGAAAAGAATAACAGGAGTAGCAAATTACAAAGCTTATGAGGATACAAACCATCACACCATATACTTCAGGGACGCTGAATAGTTCAGCATCATTACCAGAGTCACCGCAGACAAGAGTGTTAACTGGCATCTTCCCATCAACTTTAAATTTTTCAAGCAAATAAGCAAGAGCCTGTCCTTTGCCCGCACCTTTTGGTAATACATCCAAAGCCGTCTCATTACTGTATACCAGTTTAACATCTAACTGCCCAGGAAGAGATCAAAATTGAATGATAAAAGGGACAGATTCATTCATATATATGAATCCAAATGCTTTTATAACTCATTGAGATGAAACTGCTCATATCAATATATTAAGAATCAGCGAACAAATGCAATCTTACCCCACGCTTCTCTAGACGTTCTGATAGAGACCTTATAACTTTCAAGGCTTTTATCTTCTCCACAAAAAAACTCACTTTATGCGGCCGTTGTTCTGTTTCAGACTGCAATGACCCATTGAAGTTCGGTATATTAGAACTCAAAATGCACAAAAGTCTGGTATCATCATAGTAATTAGTATATGATTTCAGTTCTTCTCCATCAAATAACAGTAATATTAAAATATATGCTCTCTTGTAGTCGGTTTCTAGACTCAAATACCAGATATAATAATCAATGTCATTTGGCTAAACACTGTACCTGAGGAGTAAGTTCTGGAAACTGGGCTGTTTCCTCTGTGACTATTTCCCTGTTCCAATTTTTATTTAAATATTGTTCCCAGTCCTCGTCTCTTATCATTGATTCACCATACATAATTTCAGTTCCAACAGACATTATGGCTATATCTGGGGTCAACAAAGGTTTCTCCTTCATCAACTGTTTATAAATTGTGGGTGACCTTCCGGTGGAGAAAACTAGCAGAGAATCTTGACGGTAGTAGGCTTCCCACATAGCATTAAATCTAAGAAGGCCTAGGTTGTCTGGATCAAGATGATCCACCTGCATCAGAAGCCACTACGTACATGACTTAAATAACCACAGCATGACACTAAGCAATTTTACAAAAAGCAGCCAACAGTTCTACCATTGTAAAATCAAGATCTGACACTATCATGAGATGCGCAGAACCATCAAGCCGATCCATGATAGGTCTATCAACTCTGCAAATAAATAAATAAATAACCAGCTTAAAAGATTAGCAAAATGAGAACTTCATATAATAACAAAAAAAAAATCTAGTCTAAGCACAAGAAAATTTCTAAAGTCCCTCTATTTATATCCATTGAAGAATCTTGGGATCAAAACCACCATCAAGACCAAAATCAAAGTGTGAGCATCCTAAACAACTGTGATACGACAAAGATGAACCAAAATGTTGATAATGCAAAAAGTAATACAATGCAGGCAACATATTTTCACCTAGTAATAAAACAAGTTTAAGTTAAAAGGTGGCAGCATTCCTATACAGTAGCAAAATCTATCACAAAGTAATGTTCTTTAAACAATTCACCAGTTGGGCACAAAGAACTATCCTGCTTCATCAAAATTAACCATCCCACATACAAATTCATAATGCAAATCACTTCCAACAGTATCTTTAGCCTTAAGAAGGACATTCACCGAGCAAGAAAACATGGAAAGTCTGTTAAAGTAGAATGATTAATAACCCAGATAAACTCTCTTCATTAGCTCTAAAATATCAACGAAAAAATCAAATAACAAGACATAACAGCTATATAGTTTACAAAACTTTACCTTCTTCTTCCTCTTCTTCTCTCAACAAATCAAGAACTGAAGCCCAGGTTGTCTCTTGGACAAGCAGTGAAGTGACTGTCTTGTCTAACTTGTCTCTTTATCACGCTAAGAAAAGACGCTTCGTGTAGAAATAAAGTGCCCCGCAAACGACGCTGCGGTTAATAAAAAATATGGTCAATTAGGTTCGTCGACCTCAAACCACTGCCGGCTTCAAGCTATCACGTAATAGAGAAAAGGATAAGTTGGTCCTTCACTTATCACGTAATTATCAATTAGGTCCTAAACAAACGAAATTTCAATTACATTTTCAATCTATCAAATATTACACATACCTCATCTTTAGAATTTATGATATAAAAGGAATAATTTTTAGAAAAAACAGGTAATTTTGAAGATATTATTACTAGGTACTTAAGAGTATTTTCTCCACAAATACAATAAAGGAGCTAGTACATGTTCTATCAACTATTACATAATTATTGATTAGATACTAAATAAAAATAATAACTATATCTTAAATTTATCAAATAATAATGAAACCTTATCGTTAAATCTTATAACAAAAAAATATTTTAAGAAAAATATATATTTATTTGAATATACTCTCTATAACCATCATGTTAGCTCTCATTTCTTAAGATAGTAGAGTAACATTAATTTAAAATTACTAATAATATTTTCATGACAAAACGAAAACATTTCCATAAGAGGGTTAATTGAGTAATGTCCTATTGACGGAGGACTCAATTGAGAATAGTTTGTTTTGTACATGTAATTGAGAGTTAGGTAATAATTGGGGGATACCTATGTCCTTTTATGAGAGTAAGTTTATATGACAATAATACCCTCAATCTCTAAATGTATATAAACACCCGTATAACACCTGTCTTCCTAGGGTTTTTGTTTCACTTATTGCAGTCAGGGTGAGAAGTGCGAACCTAGCAGCAGCCGCTTCCTCTCTCTTGCTTGATATCTAGCTCCTTCAGGTATTATTAGCCTTGTCTTCTTTGACATCTCTATTGCTTCTTTTAGTAATGCATGTTTTTGCTCAGCTTGTAAAGTTCGGTCTTTTTAGTTTTCGTTCTTCATTGCTAAGTTTAAAGTTTTGGTCTCTAGTATTTAATTCTTAGTTTCTTTAGTGTGTTTGCTTTAGTTTAGCTAATGGATTAGAAATTTGGTGTTTTCTGATGAAACCCATTTTGGGATTTCATTGACTTGTTTTTTGAATTAATGCATATTAGTCTTTGGGTGTAAAGTTTGGTTTTTGTGGTACTTGCTTGTACTCTGTTTTGTGCTTCAAGTTTAGAACTTTATCATCTGATTCTGGTTTTTGTCAAATGGGTCTTTTTTATTTTGTTTTCCTCAAGTGGGTTTAGCTTATTATTAGAAATTGGAGATCCGGTGTTTGCTATGTAAGCCACATTTATGATTTGATTGCATTAGCGTGAGACTGAGTTTACCTTGCTCTGTTTTTGTTTTAGTATGGATAGTCAAATTAAGCATGCAGTGGTGGTGAAAATTATGGGAAGGACTGGACAAAAAATCCATGAAAATTTGATTTTTAACAGACTTGTTTATAAAAAAAATGGGCACTAAAATCTTTTTTTAGTATGAGTAATTCATCGGCATTCTATTCGAAATTCCATTAGCATTTTAATTTTTTAAGAAAATACTGATGGAATGACAATCCCAAATAAGAAACTTGTTGACAATATGTTTTCATAGGAAATTCCATTAATAGTTAAAATACTGATGAAATTTTTCCCTAAACAACGACGGGATATTCCATCAATGTTTTTCAATGTTTTAATAGTGAGTAAAGACTTAATTGTAATGAAATTATATTTGCTTTTAGCTTGTTTATAATATAGTTTAAATTCATCAAACTCAATTACTGTTTATAAAAATATAATATAAATCCTCTTTCAAAAAATTATAAGAATTGAAAAAAAAATATTTAAAAATGAATATATTGTTCAATGAACAACAATGAGATAAAAGTAATTGGTTTTTTTTTTTTTATCGTGAGGTAACCTATCAATTTAAAATTTTATAATACATGTCTTCTTAATCATATTTTTGTGCCAAAAAAAAATCAATCATAGCTTTTATTTTATCCATATTTCTTAATGTTTTCATCCCTCGACTTCTTTTTTCAAAATTAATGAATACATGCATTACACATGATAGCTTGTGAAAAGCATGCTATTATTCTTGACCACTATTATTTTAATATATTTTTAAATAAAAAATATTTTAAAAAATAACACTAACAATAAGCCCAACAAACTTTTAAGATTGCCAGATAGTTATCCCATTACAGTAGGAAATTCTCACTACCCAATGTAAACAAATAGCCAGATTCAATGACGAGATTGTTAACTACCATTGCAATTTTTCACCGGCCAAGATATGCCATCTCCACGGTAAAAAGTCTACGTTGACGTTCCCATCACCATCAACGATGAAGATGACATTGATTTTCAATTGCTTCTCTTCCTTCCAAAACCACAAAAACAATGACATTTATCATTATCACCACCATCAAATTATTATTTTTTTAAAAAAAAATTATGTGATTCCCTCATTCCAACAGATTTAAAATACGAAAGGAATGAGAGCCTTCACATCCCGGGGAAAATCTTTGAACTGTGAAAGGTACCATCTCCTCGTGGCATAACTCCTCCCCATGAGGTAAAGAGTTGATCCAATGAAGAAAGAAAAGGCATACAATGTTTGAGCTGAGAGAGAGATCCCCAAAATTCCAAGAATCTCAAACAGATAGTGAGGGCAAATCACTAGGTCAAACAAGCCACCCTTGGGAACCTTGTATTCTTTGTCATTCTTGCTTCTCAGTTTGGAAAGGAGACGATGGTGGTAGAAGTTACCGATGATTCCTATCAGAAACAACACAATCCCTGGATACTTCAAATCAACTGCTGGCTCTGGGAGTCCTTGTGTTAGGTGTTGAGCATAGATGATAAACACAGAGGATGTGAAATAACTAAGAGTGATTGGAGTCAGAGACTCAACTTCCACCCCCCCGCTGTATCTGTGAATGAATAGCACCTGGTGGACAAAAACATTTTCTGGTTACTATATGGCTTGTATCCTTTTTTAATAGGCATCCAAATCGCCACACTCTTGCATGTTATCATATCATATTAGCTAGAGACAGGGAGGGAGCGATTAATTACCTCAAGTATTCTTTTGAAGAAATGGAAGGTTAGAGTGGATTTGACGAACAAAAACCTGAGATCCTCATTTGGGAAAAGCCCAAAGGAAACAGCAGCAGTAAGAAATGATGGTGTGTAAGCAATAAGCATGCCTGTTCTACTAGAAACTTGAGTCTGCTTTTTGTTGGACTTCTTTTCATCAATATTCAAGAATTTGGAGTACTGCAGGTGCTTTCCTCTAACCTCTGAGAGCCCAACTTTTCCTAATGACACGACACAGACCACAGACATTGCTTTAATAAGCAGAGGAGGTGGAAAGAAAAGCCTCAGCAACATGGACTCCATTTTTATTCACTCCTGTTTTCTCAGAAACTTTGAGCAACTACAGCTAATAGGTGGGATCATATGGGCTTGGTTTAAACAGAGAAAGAGGGCAGTTTGATGTGCTAGTGGAGAAGAAACGGACACGTTTCAAGGAGTTTCTTGGAATCAAACCTTCGACAGTGTAGAACAGTGAAACATGTGGTTCACAAGGTACTTGTTGGATTTCTAGGCTTGAATTTTATATAAGTTTTGGAAGGCCCATATTTTTCATTACAAAACAACTTAGATGGATAATAGGCAATAAATATTGAAAATGAGGTGGGGTTAAGTATCGATGTTTGGTTTTTCTACTATGCATTGCATTTTTCTTATTCATATTTTATTTCTTAAATGTACAGAACTCGATCGGGAGTGAATCTTCAATCCAAGATTTTATTTTACTTTCCTTAACTTGAAATTGATTTGAAAATTTTCTACACCTAGACGTGCATTCACAATTTCAAATATTTGGACATGGAAATAAGATGTAAGAGGAAGGGATATATTTAGTCCATAGTACATTTATTCCCAATCCCTTTGTAAGGTTTATATGTAAATCCAATGATAAAAATGTAAGGAAATAATCCAAGCAAATCCATAGATAATATTTTATTTTATTTATTTATTTTTTCGAGAATAAGGATTAAAGGGTATCCCTACATTAGCTAGCATGTCATCTGAGATAAAAATCCCTTTTCAAAATGATGTTAATAATACATCCCCAAATCGACCAGATGCTACGTGGACCTGATGCATATTGCTATTTTAATAGCTTCAATATGCAAGGTCTTCTGTCTGGCTTGGCAGATGACGCAAAGTGCTGAGTGAGAGCCAAGAAAATCTAAAGAATTTGAGTGTTAGGCCACTTTAACAAATACTATAGCCTAGCCTACGAGACAATCAAACAATGTATGTCCGACTTTCAGGCCTCTTCAGAGAAGGATGGTGACCAAGCCTGAGCAAGCTTCTTTCAAAGAATACTGATCTTTTTCATAACAGGTTGAAGGTTTTGGAGATCGAGTCGTTGAATTTGGCTGCTAAACTTGAACTTCATGAATACATTTAAAACAAGAACTGGTGTAGGAAATGTAAGGTTAGAGTGGATTCGACGAACAAAAACACGAGATCCTCATTTATACTGGAGACTTGAATCTGCTTTTTTTTTTTGGGATTGTTCGCACCAATATTCAGGAACTTAGAGTACTGCAGAAGCTTTCCTGTAATCTCTAGAGCCCAACATGTCCAAATATCAGGACACAAATCGACATTGCTTTGATAAAGAAAGAAGATGGAAAGAAAAATCTCAGAAACATGGGCACCATGTTACTTCACTTTTCCTTCTCTGCAATTTTTGAGCAACTTTAGCTATTAGGTGTATGGATAGATTGCGTTTAAACTGGTAATGGCTGAAAAAACCAATGTGAACTTGAGCAGGAGGTACGGCTTGTTATGCTAATGAAGAAGAAACGGAGTCTGGGTGTGTTGGCTTTAAGGACGTCAACACCAATCAAAGATGTGGTTAACATGTTGCTTATTGAGAGCTTTTGGCTTGTGTAATGCGTATGGTCCTCTGCCTGGATTGATATGGAGTCAGATGGAGTGATTTAAAGAGCTTCATTAAAGATCAATTAAATCTTAAACTACTAAAAGAAATGGGCCTTCTGCCATTCTTATCTCATCCATTCCAGATTTAAATCTCACTTTATGACACAAACAAACGGTAGTAACTGTTTCTTATTTATTTATTTACTCAGCATTAAATTGATATTTATAACTCTTTAAACCAATATATTTATAAAATTTAGAAGCACACCACTACTTTAGACCAATATATCTATAAAGTTTAAAGATATTATTCTTCAAACCAATGTATTTTTAAAGTTAAAAAACATATTTTTTAGACCAATATATTTGTAGAATTTAAAAAATATATACATCTTCAAACAAATTACTTGAATAATTTGACAGGAAGTGTTATAAAGAATTATTTTATTAATTAATTCTAAAAATTTAATTAATTATCTCAAATTAATGAATTTCAAAATAATAATAAGATGTATTTGTGTTGCATAATGCTAAATGCCATCATAACCATTTTAAAAAAAAATAAAAAATAAAAAAATAATCCAATCAATATAATCAAAAGCCAATGTTTTTATCTTTTGAAATGCAAATCTGACAATGGCTTTTTATCTTTTGAAATGCAAATCTGACAAATGTTTTTAGAATTTTACTTTTAAATAATATTAATGTAAACAAAGAATTAGCATATATTAATGTATATCAAGAAAAAAAATATTTGTATAGTAATAGATGTATTGCATATAATAATATTAAAATCATGACTATGATAACAATATAAATTGAAAAAAAACTCTTTCTCGTAAGAAATTTTTTTTTATCTCTAATTGATTATTTTAGTGCTATTTTAATTACTAAAATAAAAATAATAAAAATATTCTTATAAATCTTGTCTCCAAAATAAAAGAAAAAAATTGATTATCCAATAAATAAAAAACTATATTTTTTTCATATGTACTATGTACTTTTATATATAATTAGAGTAATCAGTTGTTATAATTAGAAGAAGCAATTACCGTCTTTTTTTTTTGTAACTTTTCTAAAAGACAAACCAATCCTAAATCAATAACAAAGGGTAATGAATAGTAATAGTGAGGACTCGAACCCCTTCCATTAAAAGAAGTTATCAAATACATAATCGTTGAACCATGTTTGTTCCTATGTTTACGACCAAATCTAATTAGGAAGCTTACTGCATGAGATTGAGCAAATCTAACAGGTGGTATATTGAGACATTACGTGCAGTGGCCAATATATATATATATATATATTATGGTTCACTTGTCAGAAGTGGCATCATTTTCTTCTCTTTTCATAGAACACAACTTCCACAGGTGACATCCTTTGTTGAAATAGATCACGAAGTCACAGTTCCAAAGTGAAACCTGTTGACAACTCAAAATTCTATGTTTGAAACATTCAAAAAACATAAGGAATGATAGCTTTGACATCCTTGGGAAAATCATCAAATTTGGTGAGATACCATCTCCTAGTAGCATAACTCCTTCCCATCAAGAAGCATATTGTGCTTATGGTTGAGGCAAAAGTGTACAACGTTTGAGAGATGAAAGATATCCCCAAGAAAATTAAAATCTCAAAGAAGTAGTGGGGGCATGTAACCAGACCAAAGAGACCACCCTTGGGAACCTTGTATCCTTTGTCATTCTTTGTTCTCAACGAGGAAAGGAGGTGGTGGTGGTAGAAATTGCCAACAATTCCCACCAGAAATAACACAACGCCAGGATACTTCAGATCGATTGGTGGCTCAGGAAATCCTTGTGTTAGGCTTAGAGCATAAATTGTGATTGAGGTAGTTGTGAAATAACCAAGAGTGATAATAATCACACTGTCAACAGCCATCCCGCCACTATATTTGTGAACAAATAGTACCTTCACATCATGGAAAAGAAAAGCACAACGCTTGATTAAGCAGAAAATAACGCAAACCATCCAGTGCTGTCATGGGAATTTCATAATCTGTAAAATAATATAAGCAATTCATCAAACTAATTGTGTTTACGTGATTATCAACACACATTTTGGTGTGCTAGTTCTAGTACAAGAGAGGATGAGAGAGAGGCAAAGAGCATAGGTGGCAAGTACCTCAAGGATTCTCTTGAAAAAATGTTAGGTTAGAGCTGGCTTGACCAACAATGACCTAAGGCCAACATATGGAAGCTGCCAAAAGGATGCAATAGCAGAAAGGAATGCTGGTGTGTAAACTATAAGCATGGCAATTCTGCTAGACAGTCTGATTTGCTTGTTTGTAGATTTGTGAACGTTCAAGTTAAAGAACTTAGAGTACTGAAAGTTCTTTCCTAAACCTTCAAATATCCCAGTAACTGAAAATAGTAGACAGGCCACAGACATTACTCTAACAAGCAAGCAAGTCACTGGAAGTGGAAAAGCTACTCTAGACAAAATGGACACCAAAATTCCCATGACCGATCTCTCTTTTCCTCGCCGTTTCAAACTTTTGATGTTCTTAAGTGAAAGATCCTGTGCTTTTATATTTGTGAAAATTAGAGATGTGCATAGACTGGGTTCTAGGCTCTAAGCACAAATATTGTCAGCCGTGGCATGGCAACATCATTGCTGACAAAATGAAAATGAAAAGTCAACTCCTTTCACGAACATTAGGAGAAAAGAACTGCACCATCAGGTACAAGAAGAATAAAAATGAAACCCAACTTGAACTGTTATTTGACATAAATATAATCGGATGCTTCTTTGTTTCTATTTCTTTAATCACTGACCAAAATAATTGAAGTGATGGATTAAGTGATATTAAACATTTTGGAGAATCAATCTGATATTATACCCTGTGGAAAGAGACAAAGTGGTACCAACCTCAAGGATCCTCTTGAAGAAATGGATGGTTAGAGCTGACTTGACCAGTAAGAACCTGAGACCAGCATTTGGAAACAGCCCAGAGAAAGCAACAGCTGAAAGAAAAGCTGGTATGTAAACCACAAGCATGCCATCTCTACTACAAACTGTACTGTTCTGCTTTCTTGTAGACTTCTCAACACTGAAGTTACTGAATTTTGAGTACTCAAAGTTCTTTCCCAAACCCTCAAATAACCCAATGACCGAAAATGAGAGACTGGTCATGGACATTATTGTTATGAACAAAGGATTCGGTGTTGGAAAAATAACTCTAGACAACATGGCATCAATTCCACAGACCCTTTGTCTCTGCCTCTCCCAGACTTTCGAGGTACTCAAATGAACGAGAGCTCTGTGAAGGGTAGAGGTGGGAGACCAATTTGTGAGAACCAGTGGTTGGTGTGGACTGCTTTGCGAGGCACTACCTGCACTAGCATAGTGACACCATAAGGAGGGATGGTGATTAATCCAAAGTTAGCTCCAATGCCTGTCTACATTTTTGGCTGGTAGTTTGAGGTATATTTAGCCTCTTGGATCCTTTTCTCTTCCTCTCCTTGTTTTCATAGTTTCTAACCAAGGGCTTGTTGGGTGATTTACTAATATTTACTCATAAAAAGCTAAGTATATTGATATAATATTTAACATGGTTTGACAAATCATCTATATCCATAAAAAAGTTAATATTATTAAAAATAGAAAAAGAATACAAAACAAATATATGAAAAAGGAGGATTACACTCACTCAAACTCAACTCTCAACTCACACATACTACTGCAATGACAGCAGAGTTACTGCTCTTGGTAACCCCTCTTTCTCTCATATTCTCTTACACACACTCACTACTCTCTTTCTCATTTTGCTCTTAAACAATGCCTCTATTTATATATATCAATGGTAAGATAAGATCCACAAATCATGACATGATTTGTGCCACTAATAATGGCAACACATGAGTTGTACCATTTTGTTAATAATTGGTGCAACTTGGCTACACTCCTATCACTGTAGGCTTTTCACAATGACAATCCTATTTCTTAGGATAGGCCGCAAATGATTGCTGCACATTAATGGATCCTAACAGGACTTAACCAATTAGCTCTTTTTTTAGTTGACAAAATAATAGCTATTTGCAAAAAAAAAAAAAAAACCTAGTGAGAGTTCACTTGGGAAATAATTTAGCAATATTCTTGTTATAGTAAAAACTTCTTTTGTTGTTTTGAAAAATTTCTTTGCTATTTTGAAACACGACTTGGATTTGGACCTGGTAAAGTAATGAAAAATCTTAAATACACATTCAAAATTTAATTTACTTATTGTAGTTAATAAAACTAATGGACTATTACATAAATTAATAAATAAGGATAAGTTTTTTATTTAGACAGTTATGCATCGCAATGTAGTTCCTTGCATGGTATAGATTTTAACTCCAACTGTATTAGAATTGGCTTAGTGCGGCTCATTTAACCAAACTAATCCACACACAATTTAGTTGTCTTGTTAAAAACTTAAAGAGGCTATAAAAAAATTTTAAGTTTATCATTATTCTAACATTTACCTAACTTAATCAAGTGAAATTGTGAAATAATTAATTATCAAATAATAAAATAAAACAAATGGTTAGCAATTGAAACAAAAAAAATATCATATTAGATTAGTTCTGATTACTCAAGTTCACCTATTAAATTTACAGTCCTAGTCATGATATAAGTACAATGAGTTAACAGTAATTTATCCCATTCATTTCTCTTCCCATATTTTCTCCCTAGTTAGGCTTCAATTAAATTCGAGTTGTATGAAATTAGGATTAAATTAAAGAATCATTCAAGAATTAAGGATGATAATCAAGAAATTAAGAATTATCAAAAATTAAAAACCAAATAAAAAAATTTACAACTATATAAATAGTTTTAATGTTACAATTATAATTTGTAGCGTAGTTTAATGATAAGATTGATATAAAAATAATTTGGATATACAATTATTAGTGGTATATATATTAATTATTCTAATAAATCTTAATGTCTATATTATGGAGCTGAAAAAAATAAAGGGAAAAAAAATTATTTCCCTAAACTTTCTTTACCCTATTCAAGAAATTTATCTTTTTTAAGTTTAAAAATAAAAGAAAAAAAGACAAAGGATTTATTTAGAATTGTTTGGATGGGTTGATGAATGAGTTGTCTAAGATAAACCTCAAAAAATAAGTCTGGCTAGCATGTCAGATTTATACATTTTGGGGTCAGCAACCATGTTTAACTCACACGACAAAGGCATGGCAACAACGTAAGACCCAAGACCTAAGACATCCAGACTTAATAACCACTCCAAACCCAATGCGTCTGGATTTGGCGATAAAATCAGCCCGCTCCTAGTTTGGCAACCATATAAAAACAATGAAAACACTCTTTCATGCAACTTTGTTGTTGTTGAAGTAAAAGGATAATTTTATATTTGAATTATTTTAATAATAAAAAAACGATGGAGAAAGCCCTCAAAACATGCATATCCCTCCTAAGAGCATGGTTGTATCTTTATTATTTATTTTTTAAAATAAAAAAAAGCTTCCAACCTAAAAATTAAAATTTCACTGTAGCCTAAGAAATTTGAACAAATTATTTTATCTCTAATCATTTTTTAAATACTAAATATATCCCATAATATTCTCAACCGCATAATTAATAAAAAAAAATTAGTAAGAATAATTTCGTTATTATATTATTACAATATATAATAATACTACATGTCTAGATAAACAGCGAAAAAAATAATGATACTTTTTAGCATGGTTTGTAATTAACAGCCTGCATGGGAAAGGAAGGAGAGAGAAATTAAGAGGTGTGAGAACTACTAAAAACAATTTTAATTTGGGCTGTGCGTAATTACGAACCCCCCCCCAAAAGCCGAAATGGTCCAATATGGATTATAAGATTCCAACCCCCCCAAAAAAAGCCAAAATGGTCCAATATGGATTATAAGATTCCATTTAAGCTTCAATATCTATGACCAAGCTGGATCCGACTCCCAGGCCCATGTCAGAATAACTATTAGATTTATGAGATGCTCGAATCAGATTTAATGGGCCCCTATTTTTATGGCAATTGTGGGATGCCATGCCACTGTAGGTTATATTTATTAAAGCACCTTTTTTCAGTTGAAATTTTAGGAAAGTCCTTCCAAAAAATCAATTCTGTAGGGCACCTGATCTGATGGATGATGATCATGCTGGTAGATTTCTTTGATTTTTATAAAATAAAATAAAATAAAAAAAGCCTTGGAATGTCCATTCTAAAGATCTAGAGGGGGTCGCCATAATATTTAGTAAAAATGAACGATCTTAAAAAACTGGCAAAGCAATCTCTTACAAACTCGCAAGAAACAGGATATGAATCTTTTATTTAATCAAACAAGGAGGAGGAGAATTTGAGATTCAAAATACATAGGGAATAAGGGCCTTGACATCCTTAGGGAAATCTTCAAATTTGGAGAGGTACCATCTCCGTGTAGCGAAACTCCTTCCCATCAAGTAAACAATTGTGCCCACAGTGAAGCATAAGGGATACAGTGTTTGAGAAATGAATAATATTCCTATGAACCCTAACACCTCAAAGAGATAGTGGGGGCATATCACTAGGCCAAACAAACCACCTTTGGGAATCTTGTATTCTTTGTCACTCTTTGTTCTCAAAGAGGCGAGAAGAAGGTGGTGATAGAGGTTGCCAAAAATCCCCAACAAGAACAGCAAAACCCCAGGATACGTCAGGTCCACTTGTGGCTCAGGAAACCCTTGTGTTAAATACTGACCATGGATCATGCTTGAAGTAGCTGAGAAATAACTGGAGCTTATAAGAATTGCGGAATCAAGAACCACCCCGCTAGTACTATACTTGTGAACAAACAGCACCTGCATAACATGGTAGAACAAGTTCAGAATTACTCAGGTTCAAGCAACCTAAGTTCCTAGCAATGTATTGAAGAGTTTCAAGATCACAGGTGTATTGATTACCTCAATGATTCTCTTGAAGAAATGTATGGTGAGAGTTGCTTTGACCAGGAACAGCCTGAGATCGTGATTTGGATAAAGCACAAAAGAAGCGACACCAGTAAGAAAAGCCGGCACATAAAACAAAAGCATGCCAGTTCTGCTGGAGAGTTTGATCTGCTTTCTTGTAGACTTTTCAGAGTTCAAATTCCAGAATCTTGAGTACTGTAAATGCTTTCCTAAGATTTCAGATATTCCAAGACCTGCTAGTGCTACCAGACTAACCACAGACATGACCGAGATGATCAAAGAAGGTGGTGGAGGAAAGATAACACTAGACAACATGGATGCCATTGCTGTAGCCCCTTTCGTTCTGTCTCAAAACTTCGACTCCTAATGAAGGGATTTAGAATCTGTAATCATGCAGGCATATCCTGTGTGTGAACATTATCTGGCAGGCAAGCAAGCAGGTGGCAAAGGTGGACAAATTCCGAATTCTAGCAAGTATCGGCTAATCGTTACGTACCAATTCTTGCTGACATAAACATATATTATTATTATTTTAACAGAAAGATCCAAAACATTTATTACAGAACTTGATACTCTGTCCCATGGTAGTTTTTGAAAAATATTTTCTGAGATACGTTTATGATTTGCATAGCTAGTTCTACGTATGGATGCTGGAAGGGGTGTGTTAAATGCTGTTAAATGTTGTGGATGCTGGAAGGTGTGCGTTAAATGCGTGTTAAATGTTGTGGATGCTGGAAGGTGCGCGTTAAATGCGTGTTAAATGTTGCCGGCATTACTGGTCGAACCGGTAGGTGGCGAACGTGGATTTCACAGCTATGCACCATCAAAATTCAGCAATCACCAACCGTGCGCACCAGCAAAGAAAATGACATTCTAATGGGGTTTTTTTCTAGCGAGGGAACACACTTTAATGCACTCTTTTAAAACATTGCAGACCGGTTCGGGTTAGAAATAACTCCTCTTACGAAAACAAAAACGCGGTGCTTATAAATGCTTGCAGGCTGCAGCCATATATTGGAATTCAAATTGAAGGGGCAATTAAGCTACAAGTGTCATCACCATTGTACAGAGAAGACCACAATGCAATCGAAGGTAAAGATGAAGAAGGTGAGGGTGGCCTCGAGGAGATACGGCGTTCATTTCATTTGCAGTCTCAGGGAAGCACAGAACAAGCAGACAAACAGCACATTATACATGCGCCTCAAGGAGGCTCTAATGATTCTCTAATACATCAAGGGAAATCCACAGAAGGATGCTTGCAAATGGAAAGACAATAATTTAAAAACACACACCTATACCCCCTATACATCCCCCACAACAAAATCTTACGGACTAAATTACAATGGGATTTTAAGGATCAAATGTCATCTACTTCACCCGAGAGAGAGAGAGAGAGGTCAAAACTATTGAGGGAACATGTTTTTATGCCATGAGTTCA